GAAATTTCCAATACATGAATCGTATAGAAAGATGCGCTGATATATATATATATATATATATATATATATATATATATATATATATAGGTATATATATATATATATATATATATATATATATATATATATATATATATATGCATAGAGCGCAAGTTTTTCTTTTAATAATTTTTAAACGGAGCGTCTACTGAAATACGAGTATCCACTAATAATAACGTTTAAAGTGATAATACACACACACACATACACACACACATATATATATATATATATATATATATATATATATATATATATATATATATATATATATAGTATAACTGAACTCTCGTATTCGAGGATACCCGTCTACTACCGCGGTTAGCCAATCCCTATTGTAGACACTTGGTCAGGCGCATTTGTGCTTATTCCACACCCACAGACCTCACCTGTGGTTTATACTAGAACTGTCCTGAGCAGACCTTGGTTAAATTTTCTGAGAAAGGGCGTGTTACCTAGCGTGATCAACAATCTGAACAAGGCCAGCAAGCTCAAGCCCTCGGCAACGATGTGTATATATATATATATATATATATATATATATATATATATGCATGTTTCATTAAAAACAACAGACAAGGTACTACGGTTAAGCTTTTTATTTAAATTTTCTTTTTCAAAGAATGTGTAAAAACTGTCCAAATATTTTATAGTTCCGAGCGCTTTCGGCTATACCTTTATAGGTGTTATTTATTACATCGGTTACACAACTACATGCTTATCCAGACGCCATACGTTACACCTATCTGATGACAGCTTCTTTAGAACTCATTCAAACACACACACACAAACGTACCAGACTCCCTTAGAAATATACTAGTAGAAAACACAAATAGAATAACTGCAACCACCTGTAAAAAAAAAAGATTAAAAATAATGGAAACTTTAATAATAATAAAGTAGAAAAAGCCAACTCTTGACCATATTAACTACGAATAAGGCCACAATGTGCTAACTTTATTCGGAAATTAAAACATCCCAACAACACACTAAAACATACACACTCAATTAAGTTGAAAAATCGAATCATCCTTGATAATGGCTTAAGGTATAGCCGAAAGCGCTCAGAACTATAAAACATTTGGATAGTTTTTACACACTCTTTGTCCAGAAAAGAAAGCTCCTGTTCGAACACAAGCAAAAATTAAATAAAAAGCTTCACACTATTACACGTACACGTGTATATATATATATATATATATATATATATATATATATATATATATATATATATATATATATATATATACAACCACTCCTCATTTTACGTGAAGTTGTACCTTACCATCTATTTCGGGTATACTGTACGTGTAATAGTTTTGTCTCAACCAGATTCACATAGCTTTAATGCCACTTTGTAAAATTTCTAATTTATTTCTATAAGTTTTTTTTACACTAGTGTGCTTAACCGTAAACATTATTTTTCAGTTTATTTATTTGGATTCACTTTGAAGGAAGAAAAAACAAAGACCATCAATGTTTTCGAAGAACGTAAAATAGAAACTTAAATTTTAATGTATACAACCATTCCTCTCTTTATGACTTGTTTCTGTTCCAATGAGCTGACTGCTAAGTGAGAAGTAGTACCTGACCGCTATTTCAGGCATACAAAAGAGTGTAATAGCTTTGTGTCAACCAGCTACAAAAAGCTTCACTGTCAATTTTACACCATTCATGACATTTATCATTTTTTCTAAAGGTTTTATGCAATAGTGTACAGAAAAGTAAAAATAATGAATGCATTTAAAAATCAGGTTTTTATTTTGTACAATACTTCGGTTTGTATTCTGTAAATACAGTAAAAAATATGTTTTCTATTTATTTTTATTTTGATTACTTTTTTTTAAAAACAGGGTAAACAGTCCTGATCAATCACTGGTTGGATTAAAAAAAAATTCTTATTTGATTGCTTTTTTGTGATATTTTGAGTGTAGTCATAAATGCGGAGGTCGTTAAATTCGTCATGTGAGGAGTGATTTTGTTTAATAAAAATGAAGGAATGATAACGTATTTTTACAAATGCCTCTTTGAAAGAAATTCCGTTTTAAAATGTTTTTCGCAACAGAAATCCTAAGCTTTTAACATACTATATTTACACGAGAAATCATTTGAAAACATTGAATCATATTAAGACTGCAGATGATTTAAAAGATCAACACTTACGGACAATTCTTACGAGAGAAAACACACATTTCGGAACGGGAGAGAGCTATGGAAGAAAGATTTATTCTCCCTATTACAAACGTTATGTTTATTATTATATCCATGATATAATAACACTAATATTTCACAACCAGAGCGGATAACGGAAAAGAGTGACAAACATGCTAAGACATACCCAAATTTATATATACAGATATGCACGTGCCTCACGCGGAAAACAATATATCACACATATCAACATTCGCAACCAGAATGTAAAGAGGAGAAAAAAAGTGTTACATCTAATATGGAAATACTCCTTTACGCGGAGAAGCCATTTTTAGAACTCCAGATTCAAACAGGCCAGATTAATGTATGTCCCAGGCGAGGACATATTCCACGAATGGAAAACAGCGAGACTTGGGTTTGCTCAAATATAGGACGGGAGCTGGAGTACCATTCTTTATCTGGGAAAGAAATATTCCCAAAGGGAAAGGCACCATGAACTTGTAAGCTGCTGGAGAGGCAAATTTACCAACCAGCCGGACCATGGAGGGTTTTGTGCCTAGCTAAAGAAGCAAACATCTCGTTTGGCTGCAGCAAACGAACTGAAATTGACTGGCATTTTCATAACTGTAACTTATCTCCACCAAAGGGAGATAAGCGCCTTCTGAATCTTTACACACACCTTGACTGGTGTTTAACCCAGGAAAAAAACAAAAAACAAAAAAAACATTTCCCTGATTCTTATTGTTTATTCATTCTTAACATTGTTAAAAGAATTTTTTATATTCATTCTTAATTGTAAATTGTATTCAGATTCGTTTAAAATAATTATAATATAGTTCTATATATATACATATATGTGTGTATATACATGTTTTTTATATATGTACATATATATATATATATATATATATATATATATATATATATATATATATATGTGTGTGTGTGTGTGTATGTGTAAAAAATTCAGCTGCAAAAATAAAAAAAAACTTACTTACTTTTGTTTATTACATAAATTATATCACTTAGAATGTTCCATAATATATCTTGATGTTCAGTTGAGCTGATGTAAGTTTATGAGCGTTTTTAAATTTAAATATTATGAAAAACTAATGCCATTGTTACTTATTTTTATAAATAATTGTTGCAAAATAACATTCTTCATTTGCCTTGATAAAATACGTTATTCTTTTATGTGTGTGTGTGTGTGTGTGTGTGTGTGTGTGTGTGTGTGTGTGTGTGTGTGTGTGTGTATCGGGGGTAACGATATATAAATTTTCGTATATCAAGAATAATTTTCGGGGAGAGATGTGTGACAAAATGGAAAGACTTTTTTTCCTATTTGCCATGCATCTTTGCTCAGAACCCTCACCCCCTCCACACACACACTCACACAAACATATATATATATACACACACATATATACACATACATACATATATATATATGTATACACACACATATATATATACTTATATATATATATGATGTATATATATATGATGTATATGTATATATATATGAGATATATTTATATATATATATATATATGATGTATATATATATGTGATGTATATATATATATATGATGTATATATATATATGTGATGTGTATATATATATATATATATATATGCATATATATATATATGTGTGATATATATATATATATATATATATATATATATATATATATATATATATATATATATAGAGAGAGAGAGAGAGAGAGATATGATATATATATGAGGTGGAATCAAACAGTTTCGGATGAGTTCTATAGTGCGTCAACACATGGTTGCGCGTGCAGTGAGAGCTAGCAATGACCTTCATCCGCTAGTGTGAAGAGTGATGTCACTGTGTTCACTTGTAGCCTGCGATTTTCTTATGAACCCGAACTTGGAACAAAGAGCCAACGTGAAATTTTGCCTTCATCTTGGGAAATCTGTTACAGATACATTGAACATGCTTTCGCAAGCTTACGGCAACCAGGCAATGGCTTTTTCGTAATGTTTCGAGTTGAACGGTCTCTTCAAAAGAGGAAGGACGTCCCTGAAAGATGACGAGCGTTCTGGAAGACCAACCAAATACACACACACACACACATACATACATATAATATATATATATATATATATATATATATATATATATATATATATATATATATATATATATATATATATAAAGACAAAAGTTCATTTTCTCCATCAAGACATTCATTTCTGTAGTTCACTGCTACCAGCAAGCAGAAATATTTCTCCTCCCGATGATGGCCATTTCGGTCGAGGAATCTAAATGGAATAATAATAAAAAAAACGAAATAACAAAAACGAAAAATATTAATCTACAACCCAGTGTGTCTAAAGTTTTTAATTTTTTATTTTCTTATTGTTCAATATATATATATATATATATATATATATATATATATATATATATATATATGCTTTTATTCCAGATTTCATTTTTTTCTCTCCTTTACAGGAAAGATAAATCATAAATCATTCAATAATTATGTGGACTCATTTCACAGTTGATTTTCGATTGTAAATGTTTAGGAACAGGCTTCTTTTTAGTTATGAATCCATTGTTTAATTAATAAAAACAAGGAACGCGGCGTTCAGTGAGTGGTCAGTAAGTTAATGCCTCCTTAATCTGTTCGCAGTGAATTTGCCATTACTTACATTAATTTTATTGATTTAATATTCGAATGACTATTTTACAATATTAATCAAGCTGCATTATTTATTAATTTGAATATGTATATATTATGCTCAAGATTTTCATTTTTTACTCTCTTTTAAAGGGAAGAGAAATCATAGTTCCTTCAATAATTATGTCGACTTATTTGACGGTGCAGCTGAACAGATACAGAAGGATAAAAACCACAAGAAAATCACAAGTAAGTAACGAGAAAGAAATAATTTGGGATTTTGTTTTGGATCGTAAATGTGGTTAATTTGCAGCATAAGCATTAAAAGCACAAAGTGATGAAAATATTCCATTATGGTGTAAAATTGCCTGATTATTTCGAAAATGACATTAAAAGTTTGCGCTCGATAACCGTTGAGAATTTATCGACAATATAAGTTCTATCTCTTTCGCGTTGTTTATATAGGTTTACCTTGAATAGTAATGCTTACTTAATTAACTGCCTTTTTTACTGCTTTTTATATCTTTTTACTCGTCTTGGGCGTGTGGCTGAGGGGTTAGAACGTTCGCTTTCTAACCGGACTCTATTAACATTTATTAAATTTAATAAATCTTTTATTCATGTTTTGGAGTTCGCAAATACGCTTTTAAGGAGGCGCACAAGGGGGTCATCAGTGATGTTTTGATTTGTTTCATCAGGGAGTTTCGGGTCTTTCAACATCATATTCCCCATCACCAAATCGACCCAATCAGGGGAGATCAACCCCTCATTTTCGTCTTCCAACTAAACGCTAACAGCCACTCTGGCCTTTTTAAAGAATAAGAGGAAGAAAGACCACGTATTCCGCACATCCGATTGGATGCTTGTAACAACCAATTCGGTGCGCGAAATATCTTTTAAATGGCCCTCGGTGGGGACTGGCTTCTTTTCTTATTTCGGTGGATTGCGATTTCGATGGATAACCGAGGAGGTAATCTTAATGTTTCTAAATCTTACCCTTCTCCTTAAGTATTGTATGGTTTAATTATTTGCCGTATTTTTTTTTTGTACTTTTTTCTTTTCTTTGGCAGGGATACTTACTCAATCCTATTATCACATTTTATCATTTAGCCTGTTTCTTAACATTTAATTTAATAAATCTTTTATTCATGTTTTTGAGTTCTTAATCTACAGTAATATGAAAAATAACACTTTGTCAAAAATGATTATTCCTGGTGGCATTGCCTATTGTTCAAATGCATCCTATTTTTTAAAATAACTGTTTAAATCGTAAAGTTTTAATGATACTTTTGCGATTGCCAGGCGATGCAAGTGCCTCAACTCTTTGGGACAATGACTTTTGGAATAGGTTGCCAGGCAATGCTAACCTGAGTGAACCGGATCTTCTCATTGCGCACTATATTCATCACATGACGCCAAGTGCAAAAATTATTGTCATTCTTAGAAATCCAGTCGATAGGTAAGTTTGTTTTTGATTTTTTTTTTTTAGAACAAAATTTGTCACCATTTTGTTTCCTTCGGATTAATTTCCTTAACTTTCTTGTATTTTAGCCTACATTCCAACCGCTTTACATTTCGACCTTCCCCCCACCCTGTATATGTCATATTTTGAAATGCCAGCACTTGATATGAAGGGCACATGTGTTTCCTTTTCCATAGCCGTCACGTCTGGTGCCTTTTCTTCTGGGATTATCCGCACAAGAATCACGATTATGTGATCCCACCTTTTTTTGCACGTCTAACCCATGTATTGAACTTGAGATATTCTCAGAACAGACAAGGAGCGTCATTTTTAATATTACTCTTCATCCTATACAAGGCGCAAGAGCCAATCAAGGTTACTATTAAAATGATAATGATGAACAAGGAGTGATGAATGAAAGAGTAGATTGCAGGAAGTGAAGAAAATGACGATCAGGAAGATAGGTGGTGATTTGAAAGGTTAAAAGTGTAGTGTTTAGGGAAGCACTCACTCGGGAGTCGGTCTCATAAAGTGATTGTTCCTGGAAAAAAGTTATCTGAATGGAACTTTCTTCTTGCATTCGGAACACTCGAGAAATGAAAGAGATTTGGAAGCAGCAAAAAGAAAAAAAAAGAAAAAAATGATTACAAAGTAATGCCACTCTTTTAATTCCTCGGAAACTACAAAAGATACAAAGAACACAATAACACCATTGGATGAAGCAAGTTTTCAACTATAAAGCAATATTTTCCACATAGTCACAACCATTGGCTGTGCATTCTTGCCAGCGATTAGCAGAGCCTGCATGCTACACTAGGAAAATTGTTAAAAAACAAATATTTATATTTTTAAGCTTATATTTATAACAGGATTATCCGATAATTCGTTTATTTACATTAATTATCTGATTTTATTATTAATTTGGTTTGGTTTGGTTTACGATCTATCAACCTCAATGGGTTATTTAATGCCGACAATGTCGACAAGATTTTTATTGCTGATAATATTTTTTCAAAAATATATTCTTGGTAATATTTTTTTTAAATATATTGCTGGTAATTTTGTTTTTCAAAAATTATTACTGGTAATATTTTTTCTTCAAAAATGTATTCCTGGTAATATTTTTTTTTTTTTGAAAAATGTATTGCTGTTAATAATATATTAATGGTAATAAATTTTTTCTTCGAAATTTATTGCTGGTAATATTTTTTTACAAAAGCATATTGCTGGTATTAAACCTGTGACGTCGTCCCCTGGTATCAGCGCCAACTGTGACGTCCTATCCTGGTCTACCACGGCACCAACTGTGACGTCCTCGCCGCGGCGCCAGCTGTTCGCTCCTCGCTGCTCCGTTCGTGACGTCCGCCTGTCGCGTCAGTCGTGTTGTCTCGTCCTGTGACGACCAACTGGCTTGGTATCGGTCGCGGCACCCAAATGTGACGTTCTAACCTTTTGGTGATTCGGGTGGGAATCTGGTTAGATTTGATATCAGCCTCGTCGTTCCCAACTCGCTTCCAACGCCTGGTTATCAAAGTAACTGCATTGATCCCCAGTCTGCCTACCCACGTTGTGAATTGATCTTAGGCAGACGAGATCAATCAGTAGTTGGGGCCGTAATGCAAATCAGGTTCAACCGGGGTGACACCACACAAATATGCATAAAAGAAAATAAAATGAAAACTCAAAAGTTCAAGGTATCAAAGAAAAAGATAACAATGTCTAGTTGTTCGATACATAGGACCGCGTCTATCTCCCGACTCGTTCTATGGATTGTGACACGTTGTTTTCCGTTAGGCGAGTTTTAACGCTTCAAGTTGTTTACTCTTTAAGAAATTGGTTTTTCGGTGTGTCTTCGGACGAAAGTCGAAAAAAACTTATTTTGGTGGTCTGGGTCTAAGTCGCTCTTCAAAATAATTGTTCTTGGATTGAAGAGGAGTCCGGAATGTGCGTGAATCTTGGTCAGCTATCTGCGAGGCTTGCTTCAACTGGAGACTGACTCTGGGAACTGTCTCGAACTCAACTCGAACTGATTTCTGCTCGCTGCGGCTTCGCTTATATGGACGCCGACCAAAACCGGGGTGGGTTTGTCGGCGTCGGGGGTTCCTCGATAATTCTAAATACATATCCACCTCTTTTATTTCTGGTTAGGAATTTTCCACTCTTTTCCATTTTTGGGAGCCTTTTCTTACTCCCACCTGCCCTCCCCACTTCTTCGTAGCAGCTTCTCATACCTATCCCCTGGATGGGCGGCGGCAGCCTCTTTCGTGCATCACGTGATCACCACTCGACCAATGGTGTCTTAGTCGGGCGTGGACGAATCCGCGACTTTGTTTCAGGAAAAAGAAAAATATCTTGCTTAACTAAAAAAAAAATATCTTTTCTTTTCCTTTTCTTCCTCTTAATCGCAGTTATCATTTTCTCTAGCCGCAAACGACGGTGGTCATAACTCTTGTTCTACACCTGGGCTTCGTCAGCTAATTATCAGAATGGGTGGTCTTTTTAACACGACCAGACGTCGCCCCGAAAAGAACATTTCTAAGTTCCCATTCATTTCCTTTCGGTACATATTTCTGATAACATAATTTTATTATCGCAGGCTAAAGATGTTCCGTCGGAAGATATCGGTCAGTGGACACATCGTGTGCGGCTTTTGGCACAAATTTTTCATATCTATCCAAAGCCCTTTTGTCCACCTGTTTTCCGTTACTTATCGAAATAACATTTTCATTTGGATTTTTCTTTGGCCAGCAGTTTGTTTACGCATCCCAGATAACACAGCCGTCGCCAAAACACACCCGATTCCTTTATCCACTCAGGATTTCCCTGTCATTGTAATGACACTCTTTCGCCATTTGTTACTTATCAAAATATCCTTTAACCATTGTCTCTTAGCCGTGGTGTTCTGCTTAAATCATTAAGAGTTTCAAAAGAAAGGAAATTGTGAAGAACCATAATTGCCAACGTCCTGAAGGGACATGGCACATAGAAGAAGAACAACTTTCTTTGAAACTTCAATAAATTTAAGATATGTTATTTGGTATCTATATTCGAGATATATGTAATTTACATTGGAATTTCTTAAAAATCATATATTAATTTTCATAAGCATATATTGAGAATTCAGTAATTTGTTATACCAAAATTTTTAAATGCCTTTTATACAACTTGAAGTATATTAAGAATTACTCATCTAAAATGAAATATAAAATTAGTTTTATTTACACTATTTACATTGTTCGAAATGTTTTCCTCATCTTCGTTGCCATAATCATGACGTTTCGGCTGTTGTATGCTCCGGCTTTCTTCAGGTCTTTGGAATTTCGGACTGAATCCTTTATTTCGACCACCAGGGTAGATTGCTGTAGATCCACATGCCATGCCTCTTCCAAACGTCTCAGTATCAGTTATCTCCCTTTAACGCAACAAAGTATTTTTGTTCTTTTCTTATTTTAATTTAGGCTTGTAGGTAGCCTAATTTCTTTGAGAGTAAACTCAATTCCAGTCTTTGTTATCGGTTAGCCTGTGAAGATGCTTGACGAACTTCAAAATATGTGGAATGTGGAACATTTTCTGGGAATAGAGCTCCGTAGAACCTCCGAGCCTCAGGATGTGACTTGTCACGCAAATTGCTGTCGGTCCTGCTGAAACTTTCATGTCAGATATAATTTGGCCGAACTACTTCTCAACTGCTATCTGTATCAAGGTAAAAATAAATGGCTTATCGACGGAAAGGTTCCATTTGTGCTGCCATGGCCCAAACATCCGCCTCTGATGTCAGATGCTAAAATAATAAAGAAGAGGTCATAAAAATTGTGACAACACTTGTAACTTATCAACACTCATCAGGATTCAATACAACCAAAATCCTCTGTAATAAAAAAAGAAAAGAAAAAGTTAACAGAATAAAATAAGTATAAAAGATTTATCTTCTGGCTTTAACTTTTGCAGATACACTGCTCATTGATATATATGCGAGCTTTCAGAGTCTTCATTTAAGTGCCAAGAAGAAAGACGTAAGTCTGACTTAAAATAGATCTTCAAAATAGAATCACAAATTAAACGTTTAACGAGAAATGTAGGCTTACTCAGTGAATACAGTTTCCACAGAGAAACTTCTACAAATCAAACTGTGGCAAAGTAGTAAGCCAAAATTATCAGATTTGTTTCAGTAATAAAACACAAGTATAAAAACCAAAAACAATAACAACACAATTCAAGGGAAGAGTGAGTTCCATTTCATTGTTTATTTCTCATTTCATGGATAAGGGACACACGCACACACACACACACAAACACACACACACACATATATATATAGTTAACTTTTGCTATATTTTTTTGGGTAAAACTGCTTAATATTTTTACGGAGTGCTTATAGATATAAACAGTGTAGACACAGGAATCAACATTAAATGATGTGTGTCAGTTTCATGCGTCAGTGGCATCTTCAAATCAAGTGGCACTACTCCATGGCAGGCTTTACACAATATATCTCTCTATCACCGGAAGTAAAAAAAAAAATCGAACGCACACCCGCAGAGACACGCGAATCGCCGCACACGCGCACATACGAACTCAGAGAATGCATAAGAAAACTTACACCAATGTTAAATAAGCATACAAGTAAAAAATCGAAAAAAAAAATACATAAGGAGTAAATTGCTGATACCCCATGAAGATTGGACGGACAGGTCCGTCTACGAAACTCTGGAGTCGGGATGCTGATGGTAACATTAATCAGCTAAGTGATATACTTCTACTCACATTAATCCTATATATATCATTAGAATTAATTTGAGTAGAAGTGTATATATATATATATATATATATATATATATATATATATATATATATATATATTGTTGTGGATTCCGAGTTGAAATCCGGTACCAATAAATAACAAACGCCAGGAATGAATATATGAAAATAATGTATTAACGTAATAATACAAACTGGTAAAGCAGGTTAGTAGTTTCAGGAATACGGGTTAGTAGCAAAATATATATACAGTCTTTGGTATCAGGTTGGTGCAAAAATAATGACGTAATAATGTCGTTTTTGACGTATTTTTTAACGTCAAAAACGACATTATTACGTCATTATTTTTTGCACCAAATAATATTAAAGTATCGCTGTATGACTTCTTTCTGAGTCTACGTGCTCGCTCACTGTGACTCCTACGACGCTGTTACCTCACGCTCACTCTTCCGGTTACCTACAACCTTTTACTCTGTCACTCTGGACTCGATTCCACTCGACTCTTTGGTCTTGCTTATCCGGGTCTTCACGTAGCCGTAGTATATGTATATACTGGGTGAGTCCATTTGTGTAAAAAGGGGTGGACCCCTCAACATATATATACATAACGAGAACAACAAATGCTCTTGATCGTGCCAAAAGAAAGAAAGAAAAAATTACATAAAGGAAAGTTATCTCTACTTAAGAAAACACAACGTTTTAAAAGCACAATCTAGACTAGGAAATTCAGTAGTAAAACCACTGATGTAATTCAAGAATATCAACGTGAAACCTTGGCTAGATGATTCATGCAAAGAAGCACTCATCAAACGGGACGGTTGTATTGATATTTTGCCGATCACACACAGACACTCACACACACACACACACACACACAGACACACATATATATATATATATATATATATATAGAGAGAGAGAGAGAGAGAGTCTGTTTCACGAAGATCTGAAGACTTCGTTCAAGCATGAAACAGACTGCCAACACTTAGGGTTGGCCTCAGTATCCACTTTTATATTTACACAGATTATATCACTAATATCACTTGTACCTATAAAATCGCTCATACATTAATTTAACTATATATATATATATATATATATATATATATATGTGTGTGTGTGTGTGTGTGTGTGTGTGTGTGTGTCTGTGTGTCTGTGAGAGAGTGATAAACAAGTCGGAAACAGATCTTCATCTAATACGTTCCACTTTATTGAAGCTTCGGCAGGAATCAAGATAGAAATGATTCTCTGACGAAGCTTTAATAATATAATCTTCCTATCATTTAATCGGATTCCTATCCATACTCTCTCTCTCTCTCTCTCTCTCTCTCTCTCTATATATATATATATATATATATATATATATATATATATATATATATATATATATATATATAATGTCATATCCCTAAGAACAAGCTTGCCTTTTTATCTGTGAATTTCCATGACTGCTGCACTGTTTTCAATACGGTTTACCCTTTCTCCTAGACTGTTTTCCAATCAAAAAGGGCCCCGCTCACTATGCTATTCAGCTGATAACCGAGACATACAATCACGAAAAGACGACGAATCTTAGTTAAGTACATCAATTTAATACCAGGTTAATCTCTAATTTAATTGTTTGAAAATTAACATTTTCGGTATTCTACAAATTTTCATGACAAATATTTTCATTGTTGTTATTTTTAGCAAAAATGACGCAGGAGACAATTTTTAGAGGCTGCTAAATGCAGCATATAAGGAAGGAAGGTGAAAGAATATCTTTTCTAAAATGTGGTGTCGAAACAACAGTGACGAAAATGCACATATTTTATTTCAGAACTTCGGAGAAACTATTAATTTTCTTTTTAATGTTTTTTTTTTTCCTTTTTTTTTCTTTCTTGATTGCAGACTCTTTTCAGATTATCTCTACTTTGGCATTTATAACAAGTCTCTTGAAAACTTTCACCAGAGAGTGAAGGACTCCATCGAAATGTATCAGAAGTGTTTTAAAAATGAGACATTACGAAAATGTGTGTATGATAGGAATTTAAGTCTTTTATCTGGGGTAAGTTCCACTTTTGCGAAATGCTTTTAACGGACGATTCATGTTTCAGGTGTTATTCCCAACTACGAGTCAAAAATAAATAATAATGGCTGACAATGCTTCATCAAATAAAACTGAAGATGAAAATAAATACGAGTCAAAAATTAAAAATACCTATCAGCCAAAACTGAATAATAATGGAAGACAATTCTTCATTTAATAGAAAATTAAATTAAAGCATTTACATTGTTCCGACTGTAGTCCTCATATCTATTGTCATATCCATGACGTTATACGTTCAGGTCTTCTTCAAGTAATTGAAATTTAGAATTGAAACCTTTACTTCAGCCACCGGAGTAGATTGTTCTAGTTCCACGTGCCATGCCTTTTCAGAATATCCTCAAGTGCCCATGACCCAGTAAATAAAAGCGTTAGCTGGATGCAGCGACTTGACCAAAATAGTTGCTAGTTCAATATCTGGCAACTACAGTGTTGAAAAAAAAACTTAGAGAGTTGAGTTAAAGTAGGATAACTGAGACATCTGGAAGGGGCATAGCACGAATAACTCGAACAATCTATCCCGGTGGACTTAATAAAGTGTTCAGTCCGGAATTCCAATCACTTGAAGAAAGCCGGAGCGCACAACGGTCGAAATGTCATATATATGGCAATAAAGAGGAGGACAGCTGTCCGGACAATGTAAATAATGTAAATAATTACAATGCCTCATCTCAGAAACATAGAAATGAATAAAAAAAATCTTGTTTTTCTTATTTATTTTATTTTATCTTCATTATTTATTTTTTTAGGTAAGGCTTCGTATTGGCCTCTACTGGATTTACCTGCAAGACTGGTTTTCTGTTTTCCCAAAGGAAATGTTCTATATCATCAAAACAGAAGATTATGCCAAATGCATAAAATGTACTTTCAAGAAAGTGTTTCGATTCCTTGGACTCCGTAAGTCATACTTGCTTTTGCTATAGAAAAAAGTGGGCGTCTATTTCAAATACGAGTATCTGCTATAATGTTTGAAGTAATATACAAATTAATTTATTAAGATTAAATCCATTAACTCTTCATATATACATATATATATATATATATATATATATATATATATATATATATATATATATATATATATATATTAAATTAGTTGATAAGGAAAACGCACATGAAAGTATATTGTTTCGAAATATATCCGATTATGCATAATCGGACATATTTCGAATCAATACACATTTATTAAGGTTTTCCAGTTGTCAATATTTAAAAAATTAGTCGGGATCAGAAATCCTAATTTTAGGACATACTGTCGACACAGAAAAATATGTATGTATGTATGTGTGTGTGTGTGTGTGTGTGTGTGTGTGTGTGTGTGTGTGTGTGTGTGTGTGTGTGTGTATTTCACATTACTTTAAACGTTATTTTTGTGGATACACGCCCTGTTTTCAAATTATATTTGAGCCGTATCAATTGCGTGTAACGTTTAGTGCGTTCATAAGACTATATATATATATATATATATATATATATATATATATATATAAATATATGTGTGTGTATGTGTGCGTGTGTGTATTCATAGCATGTATATATATATATATATATATATATTTATAATATATATAATTTTCTATATATGTGTGTGTGTATTGGTATATATGTATCTGTATATACGTATTTTTATATAATATATAATATGATATATATGAATATACATTGATAAATTCATATATATATACGTACAGATGTATATTTATATATGTGATATTCGCTCGCACACACACTCTCTCTATATATCTATATGTGTGTGTGTATACATATGTGTGTATATATATATATATATATATATATATATATATATATATATATATATATATATATACACACACACAAGGCATTTATCACTGTGCATAGCCCTCTGCTTTTAGTGCAGCCTGCTTAAACTACGCTGTCAAGAAAAGTTCCTAGGGTAGTCTGATTTTTATGTGGCAACATGACTGCTTGTGTTTGTGCCAACGGTGACCTATTGGAGTCCATCTTAGTTGTGTCTGGTGTTAAGCAAGGTTATCCTCGGATCCTTACTATATTCGCGATCTTCTTTGCCATTGTGACCTTGCAGCCATTTGCTCATAGCATAGCCGGTATCTATAATTATTACCGTGCAACAAGAAAGTTACTTAGCCCCCTTCGTTTCATTGCAGTGAAGAAAACTTTTTATGAGTTGGATTCGCGATATCCTTTAAGCTGATGTAACATATACGTAGGCGGGATTGCAGCTCTTGGTGTGCTGCTTCACCAACGTGTGTGATGAATGCGGACATAAAAGGCCCGTCTTTATGCTACAATCAGCATCAAGCAGGTCATATATTCCACCATCGATCTACATTAAAGATATAAGTCATGAACACTTTATTTTAACACAATTTCGCTCATTGGGGTAGACTGTTCTAGTTCCATGTGTCATGTTTAATGGATGTCAGTCATCAGATATCTCGTGTTAATTCCCCTCTCCAAATTGTCTACTGCCTTAACCGGTTATTGAACTCACACTTTTTGTCACGTGGTACAGTGGATAAAGGCGGTAGTCAGATCCAGTGACAGGGCCCAAAGGGTGTAAATTCAATACCCGGTTAAGGCAGTGGAGAACTTGGAGAGGAGAATTCACAGAAGATAACTGATAATTGACATCCATTAAAAACATGGCACGTGGAACTAGAACAGTCTACTCCCAGTGAGCGAAATAAAGGGTTCATTTCGACATTCCAACCACCTGAAGAAGGCCGGATCGTACAACGGCCGAAACGTTGTAATAAATATGGCGACAAAGATGAGGACAGTAGTATATATATATATATATATATATATATATATATATATATATATATATATATATATATATATGTGTGTATGTATAACTGACTATGTGTGTGTGTGTGTGTGTGTGTGTGTGTGTGTGTGTGTGTTCGCGAACTACTCGAGAACCATAAGGCATATTTCCACCAAATTTGGAACATAGATTGTACTCGATACTGGGTGTGTCTGATGAAAAAAATTAATCATTTTTCAAAAATCAATGACCGATAATCGATAAATATAATGTTTAAATGGGTATTTCCATTAGTTTGGTTGTTTTTAATCTTTCAGACTTGAAGTCTAAACCCTGAGACCGATTTTAATGAAACTTGATAAGTGTATGCAACTTACTATCACGCTTATTATACGCTATATTGATTTTCGTTTCTGTCGACACTGGGATCACTAGAGTGGCCCAAAGGGACCCAAAAAAATCAAATTGTTTCGATTTTGATGAAAGTAGTAGTTCGAACAATGTAAATAGTGTATATAATACCTCATCTCAGAAATATGGACAAAATTACAATGATTGATTTTGAGTTTCCGCCTTCTTTTTCTTCTTGCATATTATGAGGATATGTGGTATAGATAATAATTAACTTCTTCTTCTTCTTCTTTTAAGTCTATTCTTTTTGTTTCTTTGCAGCTCAACTTAGCAAAACCAATGAGGCTTTTATGGGATCAATTCCTAAGGCAAACACAAGGCGCATCAAGGACAGTAAGATGGGAAAAATGTGGAAAGAGACAGCAGATCTGCTTAAAGAATTCTACCAGCCACACAATGAAAAACTTGTCAATCTCATTAACAGGGTTGAATTTGATTGGTTTAAAATCTAAACAGGATGAAAAGAAAGAAAAGAAAAAAAGAAAGATAAAGAAAAGTAAAAGAAAAAAATTAAAATGACATAAATTAAGAGAATAACTCAAAAAAGAAAGAATGAAAGAAGGAAATGGTGTGTAATAAATACCGTAGCTCCCTATGTATAATACGCCTTCATCCATAATACGCACCCATAAAATTGTACTGAAACTGTGGGAAAATGCTTCTACTCATGGATAATACGCACGCCTTGTTTGGTAATCAAACCCTATAAATTGTACCTCTCCAGTTACATTACGGCAACGTTCCTACTCTTATTTAAAAAATGGTTTTGAACATAGAATAATATTATTCTAATTTAGTTTTATGACAATTCTTATTTAACATTTATAAGTATTGTTAGGTACATATGATTGTATTTGACATCCTTATGGGGTCGCAACCGACGAATGTTAGTGTCAAATTGTCGTATGTTTGTGGTAATTAGTCATTTCGCTACAGAAATCGACCTATGAAACGGCATTTTTTTAAAGATTTTTTTGTAGCTGTACATAATACGCACCCTTATTTCTGATTATTATGTTTAAGAAAAAAATGCGTATTTTACATGGGGAATTACGGTATTCATTTTTCTATTATTACAAGTAAAACAGAATAAGACAGAAATTTATCATATTTTTATGAGAGCAATACTACTACCACTATTATTACGACTATTATTACTCATACTACTACACGTCTTAATGCCAACTATAACAAGGTTAATGCTGCTGCTGTTAATAATAATAACAATAATAATAATAATCTCTATGAGATCATTTGAGACAGGTGTCTGTGATGATGCCTGGAAGAAGAAGAATAAGAAAAGATGGGAAGAAAAGAAAGATGAATTATGCCAAGGAAAGAAAAAATAGAAAAAAGAAAAAAAAAAAGAAAAGCGATTGTTTTATTTCAGAATTTAATCTCTCAATTTTCGTATATTTCCTCTGTGAGGATGGCTTCTGTAATTTTGAGATAAGTTATTATCAGTTCAAGAGTTTTTTGGACAATGGATCTTCTCTTGCTCTTCTTGTTACTTTAATATTTCAGCCGATTCATTCTACTACCTTCTCCAGGTGTAAATAAATATTGGAAGAGTTAGGATCTCCCTCACTCTCTCTCTCTCTCTCTCTCTCTCTTTCTTTCTCTCTCTGGCATTTTTTGGTTTTAAAATTTAAAAATTTAAAATTTAAAAGTTTAAAATTATAAAATTTAAAATTTTTTAATTTAAATTTTTTAAATTTACCATTCGTAGATCTTCAAGTTTTTCCATCGACATACAATTTTAAACAACATTTATATTTATATCTCTCCACTTCCCGAACATATATATAATTCCATTAATAAGAACATTACTGATAAAGTCCTTTTATAGGACGAAACGTATTACATTGAACATTGACAAGAAAAACAAAGTGGTAGTATACCTAACAAAGTCAGCAACGTTCAGCATCTCGACATTTAAAATTTAATTTTAAATGAACATTTCCTGCATATTTACTATTTTCTCTTTATGCACAGTTATATCCAACAATTGGTTTTATTTTGCTTCCTCTCCCTCTACATATATTTTTAGCCCATCGATAAAAACCTTATTCTGCCTGAAGAAGTCCACTTGAAGAATGAAACATGTCATAGGATTGTATCTATTTTATCACTCAGTTAATCACAATTTGCCTAATATATGAATTAATATATCATATACTTCATATATATATATATATATATATATATATATATATATATATATATATATATATATATATATATATATATATATATGAACAAAGATTAAATACAGTAAATAAAATAGAAGAATGGATGAGTTTAGCCAAACAAGAACTCATCCATCTTATTGCTAAGGAGTTGATGTCATCTGAAAAGATAATGACAACATATATTATACACAATACTGTTACATATGCAACTGTGAGGTTTGGTCTAATGAACTAGTTCAATCAACATATTTGTAACCATCTTTTTCTCTTTTCATTAACATTGTCTGGTTTGCAAGAGGGAACAAAAAACTGACTTATTTTTCGATAGGGATAACAGTCCTGAAGAAGGCTTTAGAATGGATTGATTGAAACATTGTCACAGCAACAAAAAACAACTAATAGGATGAGATTAATTGTTCGAAAAACTTTTGGAAAGAATTCCTCTGTGAGGATTTATTACCCCCCTCCCCGCCCCCCCTCCAAAAAAATGGAAATGATATTTTCGACCCATTCTTTTCTAATTCTTTTATTGTTTCTTAGGGAATACACTTTCTTCTTCATAGGAAGTATATATTTGTGTAGTACATAAACAGATATACATATATATATAGACACATACACACATATATATATATATTTAACAACACTTATATATTTATATATTCATGATACATATATATAGGTGTATATCACTGAACCATATGAATATATATATATATATATATATATATACATATGTATATATATTTTTTTCTATATATTGACATATGTATAAATTTTCTTATGAATCATTTTTTCCTATATAATCTTTACATGTTTGGAGTTCACTTTCATTCTTATATCCTAGGATGCAAGCAGATTTAGTGCCATTGCTTTCCTGCTGTTTTAACAATTATCATTCATTCATATTAATTTTGTTCCAATAAAGAAGATAATGGCTACAAAAACATTCTTTTTACTTTTTTTTCACTATCTGCCTACCATAAAATTGTTTTTTAATTTTCTTTTTTCAGCCAGAGAATTGGTCAGAATTAAAAATCATACAAATAACCCACAAAATTTAAAAAAAAACTCACATAAGTACAGAGGCTAAAACTATTTATAATTCGCAGTGTTAAGACATAACACATCCACAGATATGCAACTCCTGAAGACGGTCTCAGGTGAGATTGAAAGTACCTGGGAAAATAAAAATAATTTGAAAAAAAAATTTTAATTTTTCTTGATCAATTTTCTACAGCTACCAAGAAATTAATTCATGAACTTGAAAGGATTAAAACTAAAATAAATAGACATAATATGTCTACATAATTTAACCAAACATGCTTGAATGAAAATATGCTAAATATATATATAAAGACATTTTTATGTTTAACATTCTTTTCATAAATACAAGTATTTTAGTAAATGCTCGGTTTATAATAAACAGTATTAAATAACATTTACCGGCCTGAATGTCCGAGAAATTTTCCTAGAAAATATTCGTCCCTTGACAGGATTACGAACCTGCATCCTATACGGAACCGTCATTTAGCTTGACGTGCCTAATCGCTCGGCCACAAAGGAACGTTCGGTTAGCAAGGTCGAATTTAATGTCTTTAAATAATTGTCGGACTTTGTCCATTTCATAATGTATGACGTCATTTGTTTACATTTGATACGCCATGAGCAGTTATGAATGTACGTGAGAGATTCATGGAAGATTGAAGTTTATAAGTAGTAAATTAGACCTCGCCAACCGAACGATCATTTGTGGCCGAGCGGTTAGGCACGTCAAGCTAAATGATACGGTTCCGTATAGGATGCAGGTTCGAATCCTGTCAAGGGACGAATATTTTCTAGAAAATTTTTATATATATATATATATATATATATAAAACAGATGGTGCAATCTGCAAATAAAATATAGATCTAAACAAACTGGTATCTGGGGGAAAAAGAAAGGTATAAAACATTCGATTTGGTCGACAAAAATCGTCGAACACCGCAATGCATAGCCAAAATAATAAAAAGCAATCGACCAGAGTATAAAAATCCCACTGAGCCAGAACCTACCTGCGTAGGTTTCACCTAAATGGATCTTCAATTGGCCCTGAAGATCCATTTCGGTGAACCCTAAGTAGGTAGTTATATGTATCAATATATATATTTTATATACATATATATATGTATATATATATATATATATATATATATATATATATATAATAGCTGGCCACTCGTATTCGAGGATACTCGTCTACTAGTGTGGCTAGCCAGCCAATCAGGTACATTTGTGATTGTTCAACATCCACAGAGCCAACATACTGCAACAATGCTGAGCAGACCTTAGTTACAGTTTCTGGGAGAGAGCGTGTTATCTAGAATGATCAACACTCTGAACAATACAAGCACACTCAAACCCTCGGCCACGCTAGCGTAGCTATCGACGGCCTCAAGTGTTCTGTCTAGCCAATTTCACTCACTTCCCTTGGGTCAACTCGTGGTATGCTTTTCTGATATTTTCCAAAGGCTTGGATCGTCCCCACTCCATACCGATAGCATCAAGAAATCTCCTTCCTGACAAATCGACCATGATGTGACGATATCCCTAGACATGAGCAGTGAAGTGAGAACAGTCTACCTACATAGATTTAATAAAGAGTTCAGTTCAGAATTCCCTGTATGTTGCCGAGATCAGTATACACTTGAAAAAGTTCGGCGGGCAGAACGGTCAAAACGTTGTGATAATAACAACAAAGATGAGGGCAATTGTCCGAATATAAATAGTTTAAATAACAGCTGATCTTGTGTATTAATTTTTGAATCAATTTTGATGAATTTTCTGTCTTTGAGGCTTACAGCCACATCATGTTGAAACACCGGTCCCCGTACGATCAGCGAAGTTAAGTAACGTCGAGCCTGGTCAGTACCGAAATACCAGGTGCTGTAATCTTGGATGTGCAGGTGCTGTAATCTTGGATGTGCGGGTGCTGTAATGGATAATGGCTCGGAATTGTTAATCGGAGAGCCGAATTCCAATTCCAGTCGAGTTCACTTTCGCGCAAGTACCTCTTATCTTTCAGTTATTGCATAATTACTAAGACTTGTATCACTATAATCATTATTATATACAAAAAATAATTGCGTACAAAATATTTAGATTTTGGCATTAAATAACAGATAGAAGTGTTGATAAGCCGCTAAACAAAAATAACGAACAAACCACCGTTCAATTACTCTGATTCTCAAAGAACAAATATGGCCGACATATTCAGTATATTTTGTAAACACATGTTATCAACACCTGCCTAATTTGTATTTTATTATCTATTGTACCGAGTGTATTTGCAATCAGTTTCAAATAAGGTGTTTTATAAGTTGAGTAAAACTGTGTACTTGTGTAGAATAAATTTGTTCAAATTATAGCACGTTTAAAATACACTGAAAATTATCAACGTACAGTAGCGTTCATTTAACGTAGGGTCCAAGAATAAAAGCTGTCTTTTTTTTTCTAGAATTAATAGAACTAAAATGTCGCCCTTGGATAATGCTGAAAATAGTAATGTCTAGAATATATATTAAATGAGGACATTTTTATATACTAAATCTCATCCATTCACGGTAAAGCATTACAGACAAAATGGTAATGTTGATGCGGTGTGTAAAATTGATGAAACGAGAGGGGGTGGGAAGTAAAGATGATGATGATACGGAGAATAGATAACGATTGACTTTTGACTTGAAGGGGTCAAGACAAAAGCGTTCAGGGAAGTATTCACGCAGTAGTCAGTTCCACAGATCTTGGGTAAAAATGTTAGTTGCGCGGAACTTTCTTCTTACATTTGGTGCACAGGGGAAATGAAGTTGATTCGACACTGTGGAAGTAGTATGGCGTGTTTTAGGTGTAAAGCTCGGAACTGATGGAAGTAAAGAATGGAACACTGCTGGAACTAACCTTATACTTACTTGGCACATGAGTTAATCTTTGTCAGAGTTTTCTGGGGCTTAATTAACGTCCCTGTGCTGTCAGTGGAGCTATGATTCTCCTAATTTTAGATGGGAGAAGTTGCTCAACACCGGGGATTCCAACCCTGCCTCATCGCACTGTCATACCGATGCCAGCGTGACAGTGGTCGCAGAGGCTAGGCAAAATTTTTGGCTCATTAAAACGACCTTGTGTCACAACCAGCTTTGTTGGGGAGGATGGGTAAATATACCCCGTGGAATTAATGAATGAAGCACATCGGCGACAGGGTAGTGATAGGCTTGAAACTTTGCGGCTGTGGGGAAAGAGGCTGCAGAGTGGAAAATAACTCTTCTCTTACAAGACCACACAAAAGATTTTGAAGCCTATTAAAACTCGAAAGAGAAGACTGAGCTGCTCTAGCTCAGATATAGCAGCAATACACCATATTTGGTTTAATCTGACTCTTGAAAAGATAAAAGATGGCAGATTGAATCAGATTTTTAGAAGAATAGAAACACTGAAGAGACTACTAATGAGTGGAATCATTGGGGTACTTGGGGTACTTGATGAGAAAAGGATATTTGGAGAATATGCCTTATCAAATGGAAGTATTTGACAAAAATGTTAGTTTTTTCCAAGACACAATTTACTTTTAGTAGATTTCTGAAAAAAATCCATTCTCCCCCCCGGCCCCCACCAAAAAAAAAACATTCAAGTTTCTGTCATGTGCGCCCTTTGCAAAATATCATATTGCTTACTATTGTTTGTTGGGTGGCTGATGTCCTCTGCACTTGTTCACTTTTCTACACCGAAGTTTTGCAGGTGTCACAATTCATTTAATAAACCCCTTTCCATAAATAGTTAATTTTAGTTCTTATTAATAAATAAAATCACTAAAACCATTACAAAACATCATTTAATCCTTCACACACACTTGTATGATTTGGAATTTTATATTATTTTCGTATTTTCAATACAGACACAATTGAAATTTTGACTTTTATACGTCATCATGGCATTTCAAGAACTTGAATCTGTTGATGCTATTGAAGTTAAAACTGCCAGTGCTACCAAAGCTAAAAAGGAACAGAACTCAGTTTACTATGTTTTATCAGTATTTTTTTTTAGTTCAATACTTACTAACATTGTGTTTTATTTAAGTTTTTTTTTTAATTAAAAACCTAAAAAAGTAAAAATGGTATCAAATTGGCCTTTTTAGGTGTTTTAGAAGTTAAAAATTAGCCTTTTCCAAAAAGATTTTGGGTTCTGAAGCCCTTAGAAAATAAAAAAAAATGCTGATTTTATAGTTTGGGCTTCTTCATTTTTTTTTATGTGGTTTTAAAGCAAAAACAGTTTTTTGTTTTGTTTTGTTTTTTAATAATAAAAATTTACCGTTAATGGTTTATCGATAAGTTCCATTATATTTTTAAAGATCTAACTGATTAACGAAGTTAATTATTTGGTTAACGAATTAACGGTTAACTTTTTCTTTAACGGTACCCACCTCTAGTCATATTAAAGTTAACCAACAATTAATCATTAATTTTGCCAACTACAAATACAAACTGATCAGAATAATCAAGGGCAGATA